GAAAAGGGACCTTGATTCCTCCATCTTCGTCCTAATTCATTTACACACATTTGAGGAATGCAGCAGAAAAGGAGAAACACTTTCCTTTTATGGTTCAATACATTTTTATGGCATGGTACTGTGGGGAAGGGTCCAGAGGATGTCCGTATCCCTTTATCCATAGGCCGGTTAGACTCCCAGGGCTTATTAGCCTGGAGTAAGCCCTGTAGAAGAAGCAGAGGGATAACCGCAGAACTTGTATGTCTTCTGACTTCTGCAGGCTTCAGCCCGAACCAGGAGAGGGGTGGGCTCGGGCAGGACAGTGGTGAGAGCTGAGGACTGGCACCCTGAGGAGCTTTACTTTATTTCTGCCTACCGGTTTAGTCTGAGGTTTAGACAAGGAAGTTCCCTTCATTTAAAATTTATGAGGAGGAATTCCTAGTGCTGCTTTAAAAAAATAAAAAAATCCTTGGTTCTGGAACAAGAAGGAGAAATAAATCTTTCCCAAAGTCTAGGCTTCAGACGTTTCAACCCTGCCTAGGCATCCTCTTCCTTTTTGTCTCCTTTACTTTTTCTGATTTCACCACTTTCCTTTCCCTTTCTCTCTCTCTTTTTTAAAACCCTTACCCGAGGACATCCGTGGAGGAAGGTGGGGAGGGGGAGAACGAGAGAGAGAGAAAGAGAGGGAGAGAGGGAGAGGAATATCATTGTGAGAGAGAACATCAATCCGTTCTCTTCCATACATGCCCCAAACAGGGTTCGAACCTGCAACCCCAGGTATGTACCTTGACTAGGAATTGAACTGGCAACCTTTCAGTGCACAGGATGACACTCAACCAACTGAGCCACGCCAGCTGGGCTCCCTCTCTTTTCCCTGTTAACTGCCCATCTTTCCTTCTTATCCCTTCCTCTCCTTGCTTCTCTCCAACTCCTGAAAACAAGAATGAAAAAAGCGTACCTTTAGCTAACAGATTAGTAAATACTGATATTATAGGTACTGGGGCTGAGAGTCAGAACATGGAGCTTGAGATATTGGACTTTACTTTTAGACCTCAGAACCAGGGTGCTGGGGCAGGTGTTCATTCATTTATTCATTTACATGTTCCTCAAATACTTAGTGTCTCATACCTGCCAGGCTCTCTGCCAGATACTTGGACTATTCCAGTTAATAAGACCCTAAATCTGCCATAAGATCAGTCTTATGGGGAAGACATAGCAGCAGTAAACCTCCTTTCCCTCCTCCCCCCATTCAAATAATTGGATTTTGAGGTAGAAAGGACTTTATCTGTTCTTCCTTTCATGTTGCTAAATAATCAAGTAAGGCAGACCGTGAAGTAAGTAAGAAGCACATAGGCTTTCAAGTAAAGTAAAGCAGACCTAAGTTCAAATCCTGGCTCTGCTATTACTAGCTGTTTGACCTTGAATGACAAACGGCCTTACCCATCTTCAGTTACCTTTGCTATAACATGGACATGCCATCCCCTGCTTCGTAGAGTATCATGAGGGCTGATAGCATAATGCCTAGTTCAGTGCTTGGTGCAGAGTAGCCCAAGCCTTTCTGTCACCTTGCATCAAGACCTGGCTTAAGTAAGTCCTTATCCCTTCTATGAAGCTTCTGAGGCCACATCCAGTCAGACATTTCTTTCTCCACTTTTATGGCACTCTGAACTGTTAGATCTGCCTAATATTGTTAGTAGTTCTTTGCAGGAAGTTGACACAATCTCACCCTGAACTGCAAGGAGCCCAAGAATAAGGACTGTTCTCATTCATCCCTGCACTCTCCGTATCCCCTAAACCTGAGCTATGGCCATGGCCAGCTAGGCCCAGGAAATATTTTTGATTGATTGGATAGAAGGCTTCTATATATACTCAGTGTATTGCAGCTGACAGAAAGAGCTGTTAAATAAGATCTGGCTGGGAGTCTTCCATCCTAACTTTCCCCCTTTTCTATTACCACATTGATTCTCACAAAAGCCCTCTGTTATAGGCAGGATGGGAATTATATCCCTATTTTGTAGCTGAGGAATCTGAGGCTCAGATTAGAATCCAGGTCTTTCGTTAAGAGATAGCTCCAGTGTAAGATTGGAGTAACAGGAATGAGAATAGAAATCCTAACTGACTAGGTTTCCATTCTTTGGAAGCAGTACAAATCTTTATAAGCAAGAAGGAACAGGGGGACTATAGTTCTGAGGCCTTAGCTAATGGTGAGGCCAGAGCCAGATGTAGTCACAGCCAGAGATGTTTCAAGAACATGACAGAAAGTGGTGAGAATGGGTTTAGGATAACTTCATTGAGTTTCTAGGCTTTGAAGATTAAGGATTTGAATACGTACAAAGTACATAGTACATGTACAAAGCACACCCAAAAATGCCTTAAAACAAGCATTCCAGGTGAGACAATGGCATGGACAAAAAAATGTATGAGAGCTTGGAAGGCCCAAGGTAGACATAAGGCAGATGTTGACTAGATCGTGGCATTCCTATGGAGTGAGTCTGAGGTGGTTGGGAGCCATGACCTTTTTTTTTTTGTTTTTTTTTTTTGAGCAGGAGAGTAGCATTAGGAACATTAGTCTGACAGTGTGTGCCCAATGGCTTGGAACAGGAGAAGTGAAGGGAGACTAGTGAAATAAGGACCAGGGAAGAGGCTACTGTAACAGTCTGTCTTTATAATGTCAGCACATTTTAAGAAATACTCTAGCTGTGCAGGCAAGAGGTAATGAGATCCTAACCAAGAGGAAGTTGACACAGTAGGGAATAATGAAGAACAGTGTGGATGTAGAGCTCTTAGAGCAAAAAAACCCACAAGGACTTCGCAATTGTGAGAATGGGGAATGAGGGAAGGAGGAGTTGGAGAACATGAACATTTGGAGTCTAATACTTGGAGAACAGTTATTCTACTTGCTGAATCATGGAGGTGGGAAACAGGAGATGAGTTCCGCCTACTGACATGTTGAATTGAAGGTGCTAATAATTTATGCCCTTACCACCAATCCCCTAATGCCTCTGTCCCAGTTCCTCTACCCTGGCTTACAGAGATTCTTCAGTTCCATGTGTTTTCTTTTTTTCAAGCCTAGAGTCCCTCACAGATCCCTCTACCTATGTCTTAGAACAATTCTTTTTCCCCTCGCTGAAATAAGATAGTACATGTAAGGTGCTTAGCCTAGTACCTAATTTCAAAATGTGCGTTAAATGTTAGTGGCTATGAAATGGCTGTTTTTGTGGCTATCATCATAGCTTTGTGATTACAGTAGCTACAGAATTAGAGAAGTCTCTGGAACCACCTGGCTGAAGGACTCAGGAGTCATTCAGCTGGTATTCAGTAAAAAGCCTGGACTGCAAGTAAATGGAGACCATCTCAGGCTTGGGTATAAGTGGGGTCTTTGAGCCATGTCAGCTAGGACTAGAGAACATGTTTCCTGACTTCTCCTTTTGAGAATTGGCATAGTGTGTGGTTAGAAGGCCAAGCCTTAGATGCTGGATTTCCTGGGTTCATGTCCCAACTCTATCATCTACTAGTATTGGCTTTGTAACCTGGGCACATTTATTTAATGTCTCTGTATCTCCATTTCCCCATTAGTAAAATGGGAAATATAACAACACACCAACCTTACAAAATTGTTGTAATGCAAACAAAGGGTTTACAACAATGCCTGGCATGTGCTCCTATTCTCCTTATCCCAAAGTCATGTTTATTCCACATTCCAGGTAATATATAAGGTTTCTCTGTTCTTCAGCCACCCTCACCCAGCGGAGGAGGGGATGATCAGAGAAACCTGAAACTTACCTAAGTAATCTCAGAGTACTTAAAAGTTTGCCCCTGCTCGGTTCTAGGTTATCTAAACCTGGCCCAGGAGTGAGAGAGAGTTAGAGTTGTTCCAAGACCCAAGTTCCATTCCCAGTTCTGCCACTGACATCCTTTGATATTGGACAAGTCACCTAACCTCTGAGGCTCAGTTTTCTCATACATAAAATAAGGAGAATGAGTAATTTCTCCATGTGTATCTAGTATGTCATTCTTCCCATCACTGCATTCTAGCTATGTTGACTTATTTGCTCCTTAAGCATAATCAACTTATTTTTGCCTATTGCCTCAGGGCCTTTGCACTTGTTATTTCCCCCCTCTCTAAAACACTCTTCCCTTAGAGCTTTGCAAATCTTACCCCATACTTATTCAGGTCTCTGTCTAGTAGTCAGTTCTTGAAGAAGCCTTTCCTGACCATTTTACCTAAAATAGGCCTCATTAGCAGCTTGGAGGGACCTGGAGGTTATTATGCTAAGCAAAATAAACCAGTCAGAGAAAGACAACTATCACATGATCATATCACTGTATGTGGAATCTAATGAACAAAATAAACTGATGACAAAATAGATCCAGAGATACTGGAAGCATGGAACAGACTGATGAATCGTAGAGGGAAGGGGGGGGGGATTGCGAGAAGAGATTAACCAAAGCATTTATATGCATATATGCATAACCCGTGTACTCAGACAATAGTGCAGTGAAGGCCTGGGGATGGGTGGAAGGGGTCAATGGGGGAAAAAGAGCACATCTGTAATACTTTCAGCAGTAAAGATAAATTTTTTAAAAATAGGCTTTATTCTCATTCTTCCTTTACTCTGCTTTTTTTTTTTAAATCGCATTTATGACCTGCAATGATATATTTAATTATTAACCTATCTTTTGCTAGGATGCAAGACATGTGAGGGCAGGGACTTTGTTTATTTTATATTTTTAATCCTCACCCAAGGACATTTTCATTGATTTTTCAGAGAGTGAGTGGGGGGGCGGGGGGGAGACAGAGACAGACATCAGTTGCCTTCCGCACAGGCCCCACCAACCAGGGCTGTGGACCAAACCTAGGTATATGCCCCAACTTGGAATCGAACCCACGACTCTTTGGGGTACTGGACGATGCTCCTACCAACTGAGCCACACCAACCAGGGTGAGGGCAGGGTCTTTGAATGCCTGCACATACCTAAATTCTGAGCAGGACAATGACTGAATTCCCTCTCTGTTACAGGTGAGCCCTGTTCCCAGAGGCAGCTGGTGCTGATCCTGTACTCGCAGGCTGAGTTCAGCCTCGGTGAGTGAGGCAAACTGGCAAGCTTGGGCTAAGGTACAGAGTAACTAGTTGGGGCTTATTTTTACCCTTATACAGATAACTTATAGGTGATTATTCTTCTACTCCATGTCTAAGAGATTGACATAGGCAGCCTCCTCTATTGAGAGGAAAACTGAACTTGCATTACTGGAGTTGTCATGAGATGGTCTTTCCCCATGAATAAGGCAAAGCAGGTTCAATGCTTTCTGGCTTCCACCAGCTGCTTTGTGCTGCAGATCTGAACCTGGCAGTTCCCACAAGCTCTCTTAACATGACCTTATAGCCCTCAGAGACTTTCCTGATTCCAGTCTTGACTGTGCCCTACCAAGCCCATAAGTCAGCTTTAGAAAATCCTGTAGTTTTATCAGTCCTGCAAAATGTGGTCATGAACAGTGGTGAGGGTGGAGTGATCGAGTAGAGCTGTGTGAAGGGGAAGTCAGGGGGAGCTTACAGGGAAGACAGCAGATAATGGGAAGGAAAATCAACCTATTTTTTAAAGATTTTTATTGATTTTTAGAGAGAAGAAGGGAGAGAGAAACATCGATAATGAGAGAGAAATATCAACCGGTTGCCTCCTGCATGCCTCCTCCAAAG